CCCAAGGGAGAAAACCCCACCCCGGAGGGAAACCCCGGGGGGGGGGGGGGGGGCGTACCCTTATGTTTTGCATGCCTTAGCGGTTAGACCATTGACCACGCGTCCTCGAGAGGACGGAGCATTGTTCCCACAGGACCGATCACCGATGGCCAATCGTTCCTTCCTACTTTGCCAAAGGTGGCTCAAAAATGTCTTCCCTAGTCTGTCTATCCTAACGATATCCCTTCCCGCCTGTTCAAACCACTTCCTACTCCCCAGTACAGCTACCGTCCTCTCCTCTCTATTCCATGCCTCAAACATCTCCCTGTACGTCCCTTGTATTTTTCCCAGCTCAGTCACGTACACTTCCCTCTCCTCTTCGTACAAATAACACGGACATTCCGCGACTACATGAACACGGTCTTCCCATTCGAAGCCGCAATCACATTTGAACTTGTCGTCTTCGTCGTCTACCGTCCTATGTCTTCGTCGACGTTCTCGAAGGCCTATGTCCCCGGTCCTGAATTCCATCTTAGCTTTGTCCCTGCATCCATTGGTCCATGTAGTAGGTAATCCTTGAACCCTACAAGTATGTTCCTTCTTTCAACATTCCGTACACTTCTAGACCCTCCTTATCCTTGGTTTCTTTCCTTCGATTATGTTCTTCTCTCTCGGCACAAGCAACAGATATCTTCTCCTTGAACCCCTGTAGACCTTCCGTTTCCAGCGTTTCATCTTCGTCGATGTCTAACCCCTTCCATACGTCCTCTACAACCTTGACCCATTCCGTGGGTTGTCTGGCCCTCTTTTTGTTTGCCCACTTCGCCTCCCATACTATTCTCGGCAACCTCTCCTCTCCCATCCCGCACATGCGATACTGCCATGTCAGCTTCCTTGCGTCTCTTCCCGGTCGTAGGGATTGGATCCCCAATTCTGCCCTGACGGCTGCATTACTTGTGCGCTTGGAGCATCCTAGGATGATTTTCGCTGTTTTCATCTGCGCCGCCTCGAGTTCTTTCACTACCTTCTTATTTCCTTCCCATACTTCTCCGGCATACTCTAGCGGCGGTACGATTACGCTCTTCAAAACCGCCAATTTGATGCGTGTATCGAGGTGCCGGTTTGCGAGTATTGGGTGCAGCTTCCCTGCTCGTGCTTTGCCCTTTTCCGCTACCTTGGAGATGTATGCATTCCACGAGCAGTCGTTTGCGATCTCTACTCCGAGGTATGTGTACAGGTCCACTACTGCAACCTCCTCGATCCCCCACTTCCATGTATGTTCTACTAAACACCGGGGGGGGGCGGCTTGTTTTACAACGTCGTTGCCAAGCGACGAAAACCCAACCCCGATGGTAAACATCGAAGGGGGGGGGTAGACTAAGAGCGTGAACTATTGAACGAAGACTATGAGAGAGGCGCGCAGCTCTCGATGGCAATTGTGGGAAAGGGCGGAATAATTTCCCTGCGTGCAAGGGAAGAGGCGGACGTGCGGGCGGGTCACAGCGCTGGCAGCAAACAAAGAGTCCTAGCTACAACCAGGGGCAAGCTGGTGGTTCGCGCGACGTGACCGAGATCTATTGATGCCGCTGCAACCGCATGTCGTGGGGCGTCGTATTGATGTTCGGCCAATCGATCGCGGTCGGTCGGTCGCCGCCCGCTAATCGCGGAACTAGACCATCCGGCTAGTCAGCGGTCTAGTTCCGCGATTACCCGCCACATCCCGCCTGGCTGCGTGTACCGCCGTGTTGGTAATTTTCATCCTCCACCATCATCCTGATAATCATCAGTCATGCATTTTTCCACCTGCGCTATATCAGGATTTGGTTCGATTCCGTCACCCAGTAGTAACGAGAACCGCGTGTCTCCAAACAGAGCCCCATGTAACCCACCCATTCTGATTCTTCCATTCCCACACTAGCCTTACAGTATAGTATAGGTTTGCTGCCGATTTTCTGTCTTCTACTCCACGAACGGCTCCTGCTCCATCGAACCGGTGCTTGGTGGCCCTCCCCTGCTGCAGTAGCTGTTGCTGGTGCTGTTGTCGTCAGAAACGTTGCAAGGAGGCGTTCTGTGACACGTGCGACTATTTGCATGGGTCAGCCGATCGATCGCTCTTCGACCTCGGCTGCAAGATCTCGTTTTTTTCCTCCTTGACTCTCCCGTGTGGTCAAACTATAGCATCATCTCGTGGCACGTTTGTGGCAATTTTTCATGGACGGGTGATCAAAAGAAAGTGCAGACCTTCGTAAAGGGTCATGTGTGTGTGCGGAAATTACGGGTGTGTGCTTGCAGGCGTTCGAGTCCGAGCTCCGGGATAGCACGGAGTTCTACCTGTGGCAGACCGAGATGCGCGACCGAGACGCCGCCATCCGCAAAGAGCAGGTAAGCAGCGAGTAGTGTGGTGCATACGAAGTACCGGCAATAGTAGATAACACCGGCGATAGATGGACTGGACAGAGGAGGTACGAGTACAGTTAGAGCATGTGCGCCGCTCCACAAGAACCGCTCATCACGCGTGAAGGTCGTGGTCTCTTGTTTAACTAGCTATGTAGGGGGCATCGAAAGCAGCCTCTGGTGAGGTTGGTAACACCACATCCGGGAAATATCAACAATATCAACAAGTTCCATGGCGAGCTCTTTGTAGGTTGGCAACAAACAAAGCTTTTTCTTGTTGCTGGGTTACTCCTTTGAGACGCCTGGACTACGTACGTATACATACCTTGTGTTCAACCTACGCCATCCGTGACTCGGTCGTGCGCCCGCCGCCCGCACTGTCTTACAAAATGCCCACAACAGAACCCACATTTCTGCTTCCCCTCCCTTCTCTCCTTGTCAAGGTGGAGATGAAGAGGGCGTACGCGAAGGCCTCTCAGCAGGCGGCGCGTGACTCGTTGGAGATGCAGCGAGCGGCCAACAGCGAGGTGAGCAGGGCCTACGAGGTTGTTGGTCGTGTACCATAACTGTTCTCAAAGTCCTTGTTCTTTTGCTCTCCCGTCCACGCATTCGGGGGAGAGTGGTGAGAGTTAGAGAAGAAAAATGCTTCGTTGTATCTACAGCCCCACCTGAGGACACAAGAAGAGAAAAAACGGCTGCGCCGGAAGCTTGGGGGCTCCCCAGTGACCATGTGTAGCGGCTCCCCAGGAAAAATTGTAGGATATGGTATGTTTGTGCATCTTGTTTTGTCGCTGCCATTGTCATTATCGCTATCGTCGTCGTCGTGGTTGTTGTTGTTGTTGACACCGTCATATTCAAACCGTGGTTACGTCTTTCCCGTACCTCTCCGAAGTGCCGTGCTCTTGAAAGACATGTTCTAAATGGAAACATAGAAAGAATTAAAGCCCCGTTCACAGTTTTTCCTCTTCCCCGGTCATCCCTCAAGGCGATTTGGTTGGTCGGGTGCTTACATGTAAGAGGTGACTGCAGCTGTTGGTGTGCTCTGCACGTTGCTAGGCTTACCGAGAAACACGAGACTTAAGCCAGTTTGCTACATTGTCCCTGTGCACGCATGGTGCGTCGCGTCCAGAAACAGACACAATATTTTACAAACGAGGGAATCGACCTCGACAGACGGAGGGGATATTATGCCCTGTATGAAGGTGAAGTCCGCCTGCATTGAGTGCTACAGCATCAGCCTCCAGTGCCGTGTAGGTCTGTTTGATGGTAGACCCCCCCGCGCACGCATCCCTGCAACGGTTCGCGCGTTTTGTGGCCAAAATGATTAAGATGACGCGATTTTGTTGGTGTCCCGGTTGACTGCAGGTCGCCGCGCGGGTGAAGGTGGAGAAGGACCTGATGCAAGAACAGAGGGAGGCGGAGGAGGAACTGGCGGTGTTCATGAACCAGAGGCTTGTCAAGGAGGTGGGGTACACAACATGAGCAAGCCAATGGCAAACCAAACAAGACGAAAACACGATAGATAGCGAAAGCACACCTTCCCCCTCGCCAGTGGTTCTTGTTCAGAAAGGTGGGTTCGTGTTCACCGTTGTTCTTCATATGGGCATGAAATAGCAGTGCACCAACACCAAATGAGCCGCAAATGGCAATGATGATCACAGGCAATACGTCGTTTTTTTTCGGGAGGGCAATGTCCAAACCTCTCTCTCTTAATACATCTTTCTCTCTCCCGTCACCGCAAAAAACAAATTCTCCTCGCGCAAGGAAGGTAACCGAGGTGCGTAGCACGGCACCGAAGGACGCCGTGCAGCGAGTTCTCGACGAAAAAAAGTGCGGCAAGGAGAAGCTGTGCAAGGAGCTGGAGGAACTCAGAGCCGCTAGAAAGAGGTGCAAAAAAACGAGGAGTATGATGGGGAAGGGATGAGGGGGAACAAATTTCAAGGGAAAACGCCCACAGAGTATAAGGGAAAATGCACACAGGGTACATGCCGATCGCGCTCACAGAGCATAGGTGATAGGATGGAGGGCCGGAAACTTCGGTTGGTTTGATTCAGTGCGCCGGACCCATAGAAGCAAAAATGTTTTTTGGTGTTGCGATAGAAACTGTTCTGGCCGCCGCCCAGCACCTCTGTCTTCCGTACGAGTCCAGCCGCAGGTTACAATACATTCGGAAAACAAAGAGCTCAAATTTTCACGAGCAAAAGAAACAAGAAACGAAACAAAACACCCAAAGCAACGTTAAAAAACGCAATCCACTCAGACAGGAGAAGCCTTGTGTGACAGAGCAAAAGGCCGAATGTTGCCGTCTGTCTGTCCTGCTTTGATGATGGTTTTAGTCGCTGAATCAGAACCCTCGCCGATTCACGCGTTGTTTGTGCAGGGAGGCGAAGGAGGAGGAGTTGAAGAAAAAGGAGGCGGTGCTCAAGCTCAAAGAACAGGATATACACGAGCACCACGTCAAGGTGCGACGCAGTCGCTTTTTCTTTTCTGCGTAGTCGGCTTCGCAATAGTTGTACAAGCACGGGGAGCAGTTGTCCCCCTCCCCCCCCCCCCTCTTCCTTTCCTGCTGCACGTCTGTGTCCATGATCGCTTAGCCCTCAGAAAGATGCACCAGTTCTTGAAACGCAGAAACGGGGCCATGGTGATCCTCCTGCCTAAGGGGACCCAAAAGTTAATCGTGTACATACCAACAGGATACTCTTCTTGTGGCCAAAAGGAACGAATCAGATCCGCGTGGTACGGGTTTTTTTCTTTTGCCAAGACTCCCCCCCCCCTCCCCATTGGGAAACATTTTCGAGCCATTTCGACAAGGTGGGATAAACTGGACATCGGTGATCGATCCGGGGGGAACAATGCTCCGTCCTCTGGGGGACGGACGGGTGGTCAAAAATTTAACAATTAGGGCAGGAAAAACAAAAGTAGGTCCCCCCCCCCCCCCCTCCACCCCTGCCAAATACGCCATACAAGGTGTTCGACCCGACGGAGAGCGCCGGGCTGGGGTTGCTCAACGAGATGTCTCTGGTGGAAACCAAGGTCCGTCTGGAGGCCAACGAGCGGCAGAGAGCGGAGGCGGAGTCGGCGAGGAGGAGAGAGATTCTCCTGCAGAGGGCCAAGAGGGAAGCCGACCTGAAAGAACGGTGGGTTGGAGGGGGGACGGGCTGTGTTTTGTGTCCTACGACCGCGGGTGGAGGAGGGGGAGGGGGTGCTTGCGGTCGTGCATGGCGAAAGCCTGCCCACCTTGCGTAGAAGAAGCATCTCTGTCAACAGGAGGGGTGGGAGAACGGGAGGGGGTAGGAGATGAAAACAGTTTGTTTCTCACAAGTAAGTGTCCAACAGAGGTGAATTGCTGTGTCTGTGTGTTACTTCCGATTCAACCGGCGGAGAGGGAGGCCTGCCTGGGAGAGGGGGAAGTGGCTTTGGGTATGGCTAGAGCCTTCTTCTGTCGCCGATTTTGTTTGGGTGGGATTGATTGGTTGTTTAGTTAGTCTGAAAAGAACGATACTGTTTCGGACACTAGCCCCACCTCGACTGTGCAGGACAACACAACACAACAACAATAACAACAACAATCGTATTGTAGCGAGGGCAGCCCAATGCCCAAACTGCGTAGATGTTAAATGCGTACATGTACCGCGTTAAAACTGAAGCGAAGTAGACAGCAAGAGTGAGGGTGGCTCCGACCAAATTCTGCCGGTAAAATTGCTTCCGCCAAAACAAGAAGTGGCAACCCATCGCGCTTACCGTAAGGATGCGAGAGATGGCACCCTCCCAAGGCCGACTTTCAAAACTCGATAGTTTGTTCCATACAAATATATGGGTGCAGAAAGAACCCGATACCTCTACGGAACGTCCTCGACGAGATGCTCCCAAAACCACCGTGTTTGGTGTTGGCGCAAGCTTCGTTGAGGAGCTTTCGAGCTTTGAAACTCGGTCTAGGGGGGGTGCCATCTCTCGCCGTCCTGACATTCTCCAATCGACTCCTCCTCCGGCCGAAACCAAAACTCTCACCAAAGTTGTTTCCCTCCCTTCCTGCTAAACCAACCTTTTGCCACACGACGTATCCTTTTCCAAACCCTGCGCTCTTTTTGGTATCATCCCCCCCCCCCAGATACCCTCAGTCTGGTCCGGTGAGAACCCGGCGTGCTCCGTCCCGGCTTTGTAGGGATGAGAGGTCAATGGTCTAACGACTACGGCATGCACGACTATGAGTACACCCCCCCCCCCCTCCCCAGATACCCTCTCACCCCCGCATCAACGGTACACGACCGCACTCCCCTTCCAACAGGCTAGAGAGCATCCAGGCCAGGAGGGCAGCCGCGAAGCAGGCTAATCGTGAAGCAGCCAGGGAGCGGAAGGAGAGAGAAGCTGCCCAGGCGGAGGCCGAGCGCATACAGAGAGAGCGCAACAGCATTGCAGTGAGTGGGGATTTTTTCAAGGCGGCCATATTCCAATAGAGAGGGGTATTGGGTGTGCGGCTGGCTTCTGTAGGCCAAACACATATGGTGCTTTAATGTCCATGGTGTTGTCTTTTTTTCACCGTGCCATGTGCGAATGACGTAAAAAAACGGCTCGATACGCAAAGTGCACCTGAAGTGGCTTTGAAAACGTTGTCCCTTATTTGATCGACCTGATATTGGTGAAGTGCGCGGTATTATCAAGGAGGCTGAGCTTGTAGAGCAACGCAGGCCGCCAGAGGACAACAACATCTATCTCAGTATGCGTGAGCGAGGCATCTTTCTGAAAGCAAGTGTGGTTGGCAACATGCGTATCCCCAAGGTTGGCCTACCTCTCTCGCTTGCGGGGGGGGGGAGAGGACGCAGCGAAAACAACTAGAACAACATACAACGTCTGTCTGGAACTACCGTCAACACGAATTCATAACCAGATGGGGACCCATTGGCCTCAGTTTAGCTTAAGGTGTTCGTGCGTGCGTGGAGGTAGATTGGTCGGATTGTACCTATACTGGCGGTTTCGTATATCGCAGATGGGAATGACCTTGAGGGACATGCTAGGAGAGACTCTTTAGGATTCGAGTTGCGCCCCCCTTTCGACTGGTTTTGGCCTGGCACTCCTCCTTTCTCCTCCCCTTCCTATGATGTCGCGCCTCCGATCTAATACATACATGCGGGTAACAACGCTCTTTGGACTCTGGAGCTCAAACAAAATGGGCATATACAAACATAAGGGACCGAATAACGTGATCGTGGTAAGGTCGGGGTGAGCGACGAAGGATGAACGCTATCGCATGCGCGCACTGAGTAAAATCACGAGCTTTGGGCTCCTATTTATTTAGCACGAGCTCAGCGCTCCTGAACAAACCCCGCCTCTATCGCCCCCCTGCTCCGTCTCGAAAGGGA